ATACTTTTAATATATTTTTTATTTTCTAAAACCTAAAGGTTTATAATTTAAAAACTCTCTCTAAACCCTTAAATTGCCTTTTTGGACAAACTTATAATAGGATTATTAGACCCATCTTCATCACTTCATGTAGAATGGTAGTTATAAAAAGAATTAGTCTATTTGAACCTTATTATCTTTATATTTTTGATCTAAATAATGATCGTTTTGCCATTCCAAAGATGGATTAATGGCATCCGGAGAGAAACATACTGAGTTGACAGCACTAGTATGACCATCAAATTTGTCTTTTTACTTTCCTGTTTTGACATCCCATAGACGGATAGAGTTATCACGACTGCCAGAAGCTAATGAAGTTCCATCAGGAGAGAAACAAACTGTATTCACACTGCTGCTATGACCATTAAGTTAATGTAAATCGTTTATTTTTAATTATTTCCAATTACAGTCAATCAATAAAGCTCCACTTAAATTAATTCCATTAATATTTGCATTATCAAATTTAGACCTGTTTATTAGACAAGGGAACAACTTTTTAGATCTTTTTTATAAGCTCCAAATTACTCATCATAATTAAAAAATTCGTTTAGCGTTTTCTCTTCATAGCTTTCATTTAATGTAACAGTTCTTGCTACTTATAATAAACTTATTTCATTTCATTCTTACTCATGTTTTTGCCAATCTTATAGAGTTTTCTAATAATCTAAGTTGCATGTGATGCATTAAAACAATACAATCTTACAATTTATGACTTTTATTGTGAGTTTATCAATTATTACCACTTGAAAATAATCTAGAAACCGAGAAACACTAGGAAAATCTATAAATACTGATTGTTTTCTGCATGATTTATTCCTTCCTATTTAATTTTTAATTTCTTTTATATCTAATTAGTTTCAAATATTTTTTAAAGTTATTCATACATTCTCTTGCCACATTCTTAATAGATTTACAATTATTAAGGTTACGAATTTTCTTCCAGAATATTCCAAACTTCAAAAGCGATTTAATGGTGATCAATAATTTCCAAGTTGTATAAATCTTTCGAATAACTTCCAAGAATTCATCATAATCAACTTAAATTTCTGCTTCAGATTCTTCATTAACTTCATTTATTAACCCCAACAGATGCATTTTCTGTTGCGATTTATACATCTGAATTTTGTATTTACTTATGATGAATTCTTTCAATGTCTTTGGAAAATTCTTCAAGAAGGTTTATTTAATGTTAATAATCTCAGTTGCTTTAAGAATCATGTTGGGCAGCACTTACACTATAATTTCCATCATATATGGAGTTTCCACTAATTTATTTAGATTTACAGACGTCATCATATATTCATAATATTAAACACTCTTTAATTGTAGATTTATGCCCAAGCTTTTTCATTGCTTTTGAAAGCGATTAACTCATCATCCTTCAAAAATAATAAAATACTGTCTATTTATTTTTCGTCCAAAAAAGTCTCTCTTTTTAACCCTGCTTTATCAAATTTAAAAAATGATGACTATAATTTTTCCCAACTCTGTTCAAATCCTTTTAGATCCAGAGCTTTTTGGTTTTAAGCATATAATTACAGTTTGTATATATCAAAAATCAACATTTTAATACTTTAAATAGTGAATTTCCTAAGATATTCATATTCTTCACACTATCCAAATTTAAGGAGCTGAATTTCTTTAAATTTCTTTTTATCTTCAGGTGCAAACCAGTCTGAATAATTGTTACTCGTAAAAATAACACTTCTTGTGGTAAAAATAACAAGAGGGTCTTACCAATGTTATCTGAGTTGATTATTTATTTATAAATATTTCTAAATATATTCTAGCTTCATTTCATCATAACTGTCCATTTTAAATATGATTCGGAATTCTTTCATTTACAACATTTATTTGCATTCTTTCAATTAGAGATCATCAAACCCGTAATCATCTTTTTGAAGTGATTCCTCTACTGCTTAAAACACAGCGTTTTTTTTGGAGGGTAATCAAATATAAACAGGTATTAGTACAAAATTCCCAATTTTTTGATTACTGTCATGTAATTTCCAAATAAACTCTTCAATTTTCTTAGCTGTTGTACTTTTGCCTGACCCAGCTTATCCATGAATTAATAATACTGTTTAGTTTTAATCTAATAAAAACTCATTCACTTCTCCTGCTCTATCATCAAATTAATAAAAATTCATCAATCTACTGATTTCATTTTTATCTTTCTCTTGAGTTTTTCATGGCACATAGATGGATTTAACATTTTTTTCTGCTGCTTCCTTCAAAACTTTCCATTTTCTAATTTCAAGTAATTGTATTACTGATTTTCTACTCATAAATTTAATATCATTCCCCATGCTGTTGACTTACTCTTTCATTTGATTTATTTTTCCCTCAACTCTTACAAATCTTTTCTAATATGATTTACAAAATCAGTTAACAGTCTAAGTTATTAATGTTGTTTCATCCATTTCTTTCAGTTGTAAGTCAGGTTTGTTCAGATTAGCCTCACGAGAAATTTATTCTTACAATTCATCTATTCTCCTCAACATTTATTACATTTCCCCTGCAACTCTATCATGTTAAATCTGCCAATCTTTCTGCAAAATTTGCATCCATAAATTTATTTAGTTGTAATTTTTCAATAAATTTCTAACTCGTTAATACTTCTCTACAACCCATAATTAAATTAGTGCTTTCTAACAAAATGAAATAATTGTATCTGTGAAGCTATTCGATGAAACATAAATTATAGTAAAAATTAGAACCTACTTAATTTTCCACTCGTCATTATTTTAAAAATCAATATACTTTTGATTCAACTTATCAAATAACTCTAATTGTTAATTTGATTCTACATATTCTTCACCCTCTTCTTCTTCCTCTTTTCCTAATAGATATATTATTTTATTTTATTGAATAAGATATTTTTAATCAATTTAATTGTTAGAGAGTAAACATTTAAACTTTAGTATTTTTTCTTGTATTTCAGCCATTAAATATTAAGAAAATTCCAAATATTTGTTTATTCTGTTATAATTTTTTTCATTTGAACTTATAATAAAACGATATATATTCTATCAAAATACTCATCAATCAATTCATCGGGCATCTATAATAATTTAGCTGATGTCCAAAGTGATTATTCAAATTTATTAATATGTTCTTAGAGGCAATTAAGAAAAAGATTTTTCATTTATGTTTAAATTTCTATGTCATCATCCTAATTAAAAACAAAGTTATTTCTAAACTATTTAACTTCTTCAAGTAATTAGGTCTAATGTGCCCCTATTCCGCAATTTGTTTCTTTTATATATTTCTAATATTAATGATGATTTATAATTTTCTTTGACATTTTTCATCAAAAAAATTAATAATTTTTTTTTGGATATTCTGTTAATCCTTATCAACAATTTCATCATTTGAATATTATTAATTATTGAATTAATTAGATTAATTATTCCTTTTTATCTTCCTTTTTTCATCATAAATAGTTGTGTTAAGTTGTTAACATTTCTTGGATAAGTATTTTTTAAATTTATAAATTTTAATTAAAGGAATTCTTTAATACGTTGAAATTATTTGAAATATTCTGTGTTATGATTGCTTATTTTTCTCAACAATCCTTAATTATTACTAAAAATTCACATATTTTTTTTTTTAATTATCATTTTAAAACTAAAATCTCAATTTTAAACTAAATAAGGTTTTGAAAAATGATATTTTTCAATTTAATTTTGAACTTGAAAAAAACTTCATATAAATAATAATTAAAGAATTAATTGTTATTTCCCCCAATATTTTTAGAATATTTGATTATGATGATATATTTAAATCATTATTCTAAATTTAAGTTTGAAGATAAAAAAAAACTTGTTTTTGAAAATACACAGTACATTAATGAGAAGCTAAACCAAATTGATAACTTCATATAACTATTACGATTCCTCCGATTGAGCTGCTAAAATATTTTAAAAAGACTCCTTAAAAGCAATTTATTGTAATTTAAGCTTTAATTTGATCAATCTTTAATTAACTTAAATTAAATGATAACATATTTGAAAATTGTTTTTTGATTTTTACAAATTCTTCAGTTTAAGAAACGGACTCAATTTTGCATTAAAAAATTAGAATTTTCTTAAAACTTAAAATAAATTTATTTTCATCTTTTTAAAGTTCTTCATTCTTGTGTTAATAAAAAAAATATTAGTTATGCACTAAACTTTGATAGCATCCAGTAATATTATTTTTTCGAAGCTATATAATTTCTAGATTTAAAATTTATTTTTGAGATAGTTCTATAAGTTTAAAATGCTTTGAGCTTCTTTTAAAAAGTTTTTTTGTTAAGAGTTGCTTTTGGTAAAGCATGAAGCTTTTTCAAAAATTCTTTGACAAATGAACTTGGTTTTCTTTCAGATTTAGATTTTGTAATTCCACCTAAATCAACTCTTTCTATTACTAAAGCATTTTAATTTGATCAGTTTCACAATTTTGCTTACACTATAAATTGTATAAAATAATATTTTTTCTAATAGCCTTATTAAATATTTAAGCTATTATAAAATATTAATTTGAAATATACTTTTCTATTTGGATTATTTAGTCTGGCAGTAATTTTTATTCTAATTCAGTTTAAAAATTTCTTAAATATTTTGAATGTTTTTTCAATATTATTATATGTTGTAAATGCTCTTTTTTAATTAAGGGTTAACAGTTTTTTTTGCAATAGACTTGTTTAAACATACCAATCTTTCTTAAACTATTTATAGATTTTCAATAACTAACCCAGGTTCTAATCATTTAAGTTTATTAAATTAATTACTTTAGTTGAGCTTATGAAACTTGAAAGCGTTTACATTTTCTCAAAATTCTAAATTTTTCTATAGTTATAGGAATCCTCTTTAAATAAATTTAATTTACTTTTTAAATATGAACTTAACTCCAACATTAATCTAGCAAATTAGATTATTTTAAAGTTAATAAAGTTAAATAATAGCTGAGTCATTATTATTATTTATTTGTATTAATAATCCTCTGTTCTTAAAATCCTTCCAAATCTAACTTATTGACTTTCCCCCAACATTTAAAGAGTTATTAAGCTGACTTAATCTTTTTATTGTTATTAGAGGATTAAAGACTAACATTTTACCAATCACTTAGATCCAGATATAATGTTCCCTTCAATATTTTGAATTTTTAACCAATTTTCTTTCTATGATTCTTCAAATTTCCTTATCTGTTCATAATAATATCTAGATATGTATAATAGTAAAAAAATAGTATTCCTTTAATATAGATGTATTATTTTCTTATGATTATTTAGGTTAATGATATTAAATTTAGCTTTATTCAATATCAACTTCCCTCTTATGCTGTCTTGGCTCAATTCTGAAATACAATATATTTATTCCCAATTATTTCATATAAATCATCAGAATTATCATAATCTTCATATTAATATAGGTGAATACATAGCTTCGAAAAATTAAATTAGTTTACTTTTATAATTTTTTATCCCTCAAAATTTAATACAGTTTTTCTTTTCTTATAAGGTATACGATGAACTAAAATCGATAAATAACAAGCAAACTTTATTTTATTTGTATCTATATATCTCTTAAAATATATTAAATAATGTAAATTAAAGGTTCCTCCTCCCTTACAAATTCATTTTTGATAGTCATTTTTTCCATATATTCATTAATTATCATTTGGATTTTAATTACATGAATTTGTATAAATTGCTCCTTTTACATAATAGTTACTTTAATTATTAGAAAATGATTCTTCTAAATTGAAATCAACATTTTTAAGAAACAATAGAATAGGATCATTGAAGAACTTAAAATTGGTTAGGTCTTGCAAAATAGGACCCAAGCAAAAGGTCAACAAAAAAAGTCCAAAAGAAATGGTTGTGGGAAGGAGTCAAAATAATTTTCATATGCATTTTATATAAAAAAGTGAATTTTATGAAACTAAAATATAATTGTACAACATTTGAAGTTCAAATACACTCTATTATCTTAATAATTTTTTTGATTCTAAGTAAAATAAAAGTCCTTCTGCCAATCTTATACTCTAAGGATATTCATAAATAATTTGCTTCAACCAGATAGCAAAATTCAACATTAAAAAAAAAATAATAAAAAATTTATTTGTTAAATGTTCTTTCTTGTTTGGTATAATATTTACTGAACTCATTTAAGATGTTAAAAATTTCAGAATTTTAATAATAGGAAAAAAATAAAAAGATGATAATACAATTTACATCATTTCAGTAATGGCTTATGTTGATGATTTAGCAATAGTAGGCAATAATCCAATACTAAATTCTATAACCCCTTTCTTTATTGAAAAACATTAATTTATAATTTTTAAATTAGTTTATGGAAAACAATAATACAAACTAAAGCTATTAAAAACAGAAGCCCTTATTAATACTTTAAAGATATTTAAGTTTAAATATTCATTAATAAAAAATATTATTTTAAATATTTAAAGAAAATAGCATTAAATGTGTATAATTAAATAATTTATGAATCCTTTTGTTGTATATTATAGTTTTTGTGGAGTCCTCTTTTAATTAAAATTTTTCTAGCATATTTTGAAGATTTATTAAGAGAAAGAGGATACATTAATAATCGTCTTATTGAATATAACTAAATATTAAATATTAAATATCTGGAGAAATAAATGAAAAATATCTTATAGAATAAAGTAATTATAAAGATTATAAATGGCACTCTTGATTTTTTAGTAGTTGAGATTAGTTTTAGCTTTAGTGTTTTGAAATTGGATTATTATTTGGAAAGTTCAAAACTTATAAGAAAATAGGATTGTGAATTTGGGAATTGGGAATGAAAAACAGGAAAATCTCAATCTAATACTTTAATTGAATATAACAAAAAATGTATAACTGATTAGGTGATTATGAATGCCATTTTCTGCCAAAGATTATTTTGACAATAGTGATATCTTACATAACTCAAATCGTTATAACTGATGGTTTTCAAATTAAAGATTATCTATCTTTTCATAAATAACATAAAGTTGAAAGTTCATAAATGGGTCAGTTCATTAAATAGCAAGATACTTAAGAAGAGGAAATCCTATTAATAAAATGTTCATTTTTAGGTTTGGGTTTGGGGTTGGGTTTGGG